TGTATACAACTTAATGTGCCTAAACACTTCTTACTATTAAAATAATCTCACGGATTTTTTTAATTTTCATTTTTTACCCTCCTTTTTCCTTTTTTTCTCTTTTTTTTCCATTCATTCCTATTATAACTTTCTTTTGTTGGAAACGGTTAATGCTTTATCGGCTGCAGCAGCAATCAAATATTAAGACCAGAAATAAGGGATCAATCATCATATTAGGACCAGAAATAAGGGAAATAAGAATCAGAAATAAGGGAACATCATATATACTAGTAGACATCTTGTACAGCAGTCTGTGTTTCATCCCTTATCTGTAAACACTTGCTGTAACGACCATATTGCTACAAGAGGGTGGAGGGGCGGGAGGGGAGGAGGGGGGAGAAGGGGGATAAAGTTTTATCAGTGGAGCAGCGGAGATTTTATGGGCTAATCTTAGTGACGGAAACGCACGACGATGATGGCCTTCCGCATACGCTGGAACATCTCGCATTTCTGGGCAGCAAAAAATACCCATACAAAGGTGTATTGGATCTTATTGCGAATCGATGTTTGGCGTCAGGGACCAACGCATACACTCAGCAAGATCATACGGGCTACGAATTAACTACGGTAATTGACTTGAACATTTTTTTTCCTTCTTTTTTTTGGATCACTCCAAAACGAAGAGGAGGAAAGATTTGAAAATGAGAAAGAGAAGAGGAAATTTGAGTACTGTTTTGATTAAAGATACTTGAAGAATGCATGGGAAATTTTGATTCCCCTCCACTCTTCTCCCGTAACGATCCCTTTTGACATAATGTTTTGTATGGTTAAAAAAGCCATACACTTTTGTCCGATGATTGTTATGTTTAAAATATCGGGTTTTTTCAGGTTGGCAGTCAAGGATTCCTGAGAGTGCTACCTGTTTATTTGGATCATTTACTATCGCCAACGTTGACGGTCAGCTTGTTGCAAAATTTCCACACCTTTTTATTTAAATAAGCGTCCGCTAAATATTCCTCCCGTTTCGTTTTTGGAAATCCGATGCCTGTATGGCTCGTTTTTTTAATGCGTTTTTTTGCAGCTATGCAAAGCGGAAAGCGCATATTGACGAAAGGTTATCTGTGTATATGTGTTTGTGTATGCGCTGGGCATCTGTGCTGATTTTTCATATCGAGACCTACAAAAGCTACACAGCTGAAACTTTGCAAACTTATTCTACATGCATGTACGGGTCCCAGTCCCCAAAATGGGTGATCTTACCCGCGTGGTACTCACGTAAAAGCCCGTGAAAGTTTTTTGCGAGTAAGTCGTTAACTCGGGAATCTAAGAAGCTAGAAGGCTGAAGTCTTAAGAGGGTCCAACTAGGTCTCATTGAGCTCATACCCAGTCCCCGGATGTGCGCAGTATCCACGTACATGCCCGCCAAAGTTTTTTCCGAGCAACTTGCTAACTCGGGAACCTGAGAAGCCAGAAGACTGGAATTTCGAAGGGATGTGTCCTGACAGCCCTGGCGGCCAACCTGAAATTCTTTTAGCTAGAAGTATCTGCCTGAAAAAAAAACAGTGCTGTTAGCGACAAAAAATCTGCGGGGAGCTATGCAAAAAACGCATCTTCGCATGGGCAAATTCTTTTTTTCGGGATTATTGCTTTGGCCAATTATTCTTTTTTCGGAATCAGAACAACAGTCAACTTGTTTCTAAGCAGCCCTTTAAAAGAGGTAACCATCGACGGCTGTTGTCAACGGGTGATAATGTGTTATATGTTTCGAATTATTATATCAGTTTTTGCTTCCACTTTTCGTAGGAAGCAAGTACGAAAGGATTTTTCGACTTTTGTATATTTTATGTACGTTCCTGTCCATCAGAAAGAATGTAAAGTTGGCATTCAGTCAATCAGTGAGAATTGGACGATTTACTTTTTCCCGAAATCAGGCAAATAGTTTACTTTTTAAATTACTCGATAAACTAATTTGCTTGGTGCTTTGTTAAGGATGCGCAATTCCTCACTGAGGTTCATCATATCAACGGGAATGGTGATGATGCGGGTGTGGTGTACAGTGAGATGCAAGATGCTGAATCAGACATGGACCAGATCGTTTGCTGGAAGCTAAAGGAGCTCTTTTATCCTGAACGTTAGTTTCTATTTTCCATTTCTTTTAATTTAGTACTTTGATACGTGCTGGCGAGCATGAAGCAGTCGAATTTACGTATATGTGACTTAGTGGACCGAAACGTCTTATCTCGCTCTTGTCTTCTTTTTTGATTTTTTTTTTTCTGGTATTCTTCCGAGCTTTCACCACTTAGGTTTCCTGGGCCAACTCGATTGCTGCTACAATTGGCTTACCTCTATTATCATGCAAAAAGCTCCGCTAATAGGACAGCCAATCTCTGTAGGATTTATTTGTTTGTTTCGATAATGAGTTAGTACCGATATATGCCAGGATGTCGAACGCATTGTCAGCTTACTTATATAAGTACTTATATAAGTACTT